ATGTAGACACTGCGGACGAAGTAGGGAGATCTTGAAGTGCAAGCTCGATTCACGCTAGTTTGGTGATGGTCGAGTTGTCCCGAGGATACCTATGGAAAGTGAAAAGGCTTCACCCGTGGCTGTGAGATGTGGGCCGCAGTGACTGTAACTAATGACACTTTCCTCGTCTACGCCACGCTGAGCTCAACAGTACTCGATTTCAGTTGGAATATTCAATGGCTGAAGCCGGCCTCTGCCCCGTTTGGGTTAAAGGTTCAGCTCCCATGGCGTTCGGATCTTGGCCTAGTACCAAGCTTGGAGAAGGTTCCGCTGGGGCGGTTCTGAAACTCCCAGGAAAAGCATGGAAATGAAAAAATATTGATAAAAGATTAAATGGCTATGGCTGGGGATCGCGGCCGTGTCTCCGGCACCAGACAATTGATGCCATTAGTGTCTTCTTGTCTATGGACAGCACTGCCGGGACACCCAAGAGGCAGAGGCCATAGGTAACTTAACGAGGTAAAGCAGACAGATGTCGCGGGGATATTCTATTGAGCAAGGACTGATAGGTTCCATCAAGAATGTAGGTAAGATCGATGGTGATGATAGCCTAGGGTATCACAGTTTTGGCCATTGAGTTCCATGTTTTATTGCACAAAGGTTGTAAGTTGATAGCTTGACAAAAGTGGAGGGACTAACTGGAAACCTGGGCGGTGGACTGCCACTAGTGGCACCTGTGCTAGAGGTGCCTATCGCTGCTGGTAGGAACGATCTCGCAAGTGCCTGCCTGCCACGAGCACCGCTATGCCCACAGTGTGTACATACGTCACTGCAGGAACGGCGGGAATCAAACTATTTCCCCTGGACATCCCCTTTATTTGTCAAACATCTCCGTCCGAGCCCCAGCGTCCATGCCACGGCACCTGCTGTGATACCGCTATACGCAAAAGATTGCTATCTAGCGGTACACTATCCAACTGACTCAATGGCTGCCAGCGGACCATCTAGGACCCATTCCTCTCCGGTCACTAACAAGCGAGAACCGCTGCTCCTTGTGGGCTTAGGCCAGCTTAGCGAGGAGCCATCACGATAGGCAACCATTCGTTGAATCTAGATCTGCACTTTATACCTCCTGATACGGCCAAGCACCAGTGATTGTTGGGCGCAAGATGCGTCCGTCTTCTGAAGGAGCATGCAAGTATCGTAAGACAGTAACCGCCCGTGCCCATATCATCGGCTTCGTTAACAAACCGATTATCGACTAGGGTTAACATCCGCAGACGGCGTCTCGACGCTATTGAGATGTCTTAGGCCTGAACTTTAGCGTCACTCGCATATGAGCAACTTGCTAACTCGGATTTGCCTAGGAGATGGCTAGTCGGCCGCGCAATGCAATTAGGGGTGCCATGGTATGTTTATAGATCGTCGTTGATGAACCCGACCGTTGAGCTCAGGCCAAGGCATCGAGCGGCCTGGTTGTGACTGGATGAATTTGGAGGATGACGTTCTCATATAAACTTTACTTTGAGTTGGCTCTGCTCACCATCCTCCCATCTCAGCATACGTTTGGCATGCGGCTTTGTTCTGTCCCTAGACCGAGGATAGCCTACTAGGGTACTCCATGGCTTGACCAGAAGCTCTGCCCAAAACGGTCCATGGAGTGGATTTCATCGGGCATTGAATAAACAGCTCGGGTGCGTATCATCCATAGCGCAAGGCACTGATGGTGTTCTCAGCTACCCGTAGGTCGTACCCACATTCTTCAGAATATAGAAAGCAGGTAACTTCATGTTCATGAGACCTCTGAGCATAGAATCCGGGCAGGAGAAATATACGAAACCCGATGCCCAATCCGTTTCACTATCAGATAATTGGATTTAACTAGGTAACTTGTCATTCGAAGACTTTCTGTGAACGTATAAATTCAGCCAACAGACATCCACGCAGTAGCGTAGATAGCTCTGTTCGGGCTGTCGCGCAGTTGAATTCAACCATCAGTGACTGGACCGTTTACTGCCGTTCACAGTCGGCGTACCCGCCAAATGGGGAAGTTCACAAACCCTCCATAGTACATTAGCCTTGCAAATCTGTGTGTCCTCGCAATAAAAGCAACTGGAACTGAGACCTTTTGCCAGTGTCAGCCGTGCTGGTTCGTTGGTGAATGGGAGGCTCACGCAGACCTGGATACGCTAATGCAACTGTCATTTTATCCTGACCAGTTCAGAGATGATTACTGATCATGAAATTAGCCCAACGGACTTGACAAGAGAGATCATCTGTGATATTAACACCAGCGGGCCGTAAGCACTTGGCTAATCTACCATCAAGAGGGTCATCACTAGTTCATTTGACCCCTACACTTAATGTAGCGTTGATATTTACGATCGGGACACTTGTGAAATGCCTTTGAGCTGTAGGTAGTATCGCTCCTAACAAAAAAAGGTGAGTGTGGTGAGTTCCCGCATCTAACAAGTTCGCATAAGAAGCTATGCAAAACATGTTAGTTTCGTCGTGACACTGTTTGGTTTTCCCAAGAAGTCACCAACATATGTCCATTATAACCAATCAAGTATCTCGATAACCAATATGGGTACCATTCCCTTTTAGAACCACAATCCGTGAGGTTTTGGTACACCTTCCTGCGGCCGGCTGAATCGGAATAGCACTCTTATAAGGGGAGAACACTCGCAGATACCAGACCTGATAAGTTGTTGTACCATGTGCCATTAACACGATATAATACCATGAACTATAGATGAGCGAGAATGTCGTTGGGCCAGACCAGGTGACACTCACAACCAACTGACAGCCCGCAAGAAATAGATAGTATCAACTATGGGGCATTTGCAGGGTATCTTGAACTAGCGACAGCTGCTAATACCAGTCACTCGACCAACAAGATCGGCTTCAAAGCGCATATACCTGGGTGAGCTGCGCAAGCTGTCGAAGGAACCCCTGACATTGATATACGAGGCGACAAGGGCTTTGCTGAGGTTGAGGAACTAGGTGATGCCTCGTGAGATTCGTGCTGAGATCATGACGTTGAGTCAATCTACGTTGAAGAACATGCTGGAGATTTATGGATTGAAGGGTCGTCTTACAAGTTCCAGCAGCTGAAAACCACAGCGGTAGAATCTGGTATCAAAGACAACCTAAGTCAGGGTGCTATTTTATTACATACTGCCCTGCAGTCTAACTATAGTTTTTCCGGTCTTATAACCGCTGTTCGGGGATGCAAGCATTCCGACCAATATCCCGTTTGGGGAGAGCCCACTTGAGACACTACTCTCATTGAACGGTAACCACAACTGCTACTGTGACCCAACATGAGCGGTTCGGGCACACCGCCCGAGGTGCATCCTTACCATCATAATCATCATGTTAGTCGTCAACTTCGATAGCTCGCAGCATGACACCATCGTAGGTCCGTCAGCTCGGGTCAGGAAGTTTCAAAAAGACAAATAGCGGTTCTATCAGATTCGAGGAGCTTGCGTTCATTCGGGACCCCAAAGGGAAGCAGGTGATAAAATAGGGTGTAAGTTTGGACCTAGCCAGGTTAACCAAAACAAAAAATTATAAACCATCAAGCTGAGATCATTCGGAGACAGGGCCTTCCGGATGTTTCTTCTTGCGAAGACGCCCGAGCGCAGTAGCTCCGGCCGGACGAAAATATCATGAAATGTTGAAATTATAAGAAGCTAAGAGAAGATCCGGCCAGCCCACAGGGCCCAAATCTGAACAAAATCATCCGATATTGGACCATGACCGACAAGAAATGAGGCTTTTGTCCGCCTCGGCAATGCATGCCTGAGAGGAAAGGGAAAGACGTCCTTCAATGTTGAACCCTTTAATGTGGTCTCAGTAGAATGGTGTTTGTCTGTTGGGGGCGAACCTTACCGATCCCCTTCTCCGACTTCTCACTATATGCTCGGCATGGTAGGCTGAGGTGGTACGGGGCTCGAAGGAAGTGTAGTCGATTTTGAACTTCAACCGCAGTTGGTTAGGCAAAGGCAGGCATGCAACGCACCCAGCCTAAGCCCTAGGCCAGCGAGGCCAGCAAGCCACCTGAGATGGAGGACACATGGATAAGAATGGATAAGTTGAGGGACCTTACGGCGCAAGGCCCGTGCCTATAGGATCGTACACACAATCCGACGTCGTGATATGCCCCGGACGCTCATCGTCAGCCTCGTTTCGACTTCCTGGAGGTGGTGTCAGCTGCTGAGATAGTTGTGGTGTGTTGTGTCTTCCTATCGTTCCCGCCGACTTCACCAACTCGGATCAGATATCGACAAACAGTCTCTATGGTATGGGGAGTTTGACACAAAAGATGGTGTCGCATTGGCGGTTTGCACGTGTCCAGCTGAGTGTCATCGCAGTGGTGGTGGTGAGCAAACCAAGAGGGCACGTAACATACCGTACGATTATAACATTCGGGCAGTCCGGTATGGTAACGTAATGCATAAGTAGGCAAGACAAAGTAGCTTTACCAAGTACGTTTCGGTACGTAGTGTAAGACTGTGAAGTGGACGTAACACGGCGAATGCGTCACAGCAGAAGGCGGCATGGAACGTTTTAGAGCCTCGTGGTTGCTTGGCCCCACCAAAAGGTAGCTGTAAATCGAAAACGTCACACCCGCCCTACGAGCAGCATTGCGCGCTTGCTTGGCTTTGACCTTTTGCTTCAACCCCACCACTGACGAAGAAAGACGTCGACAACTCAACACAACATCCAGGTTTGCTTTGGCGAAGATCATCCAGGCTGAGACCTACGCACGCTAGAAAACCAACGGCAAGACATTCGACAGCAACCGCATCAAGCCGCACCGATAGTTAGACCAGGTCGTCACGCCCACACGCGCGCAAAAAATCGATAGCCCTGCCACCCCAAAACCAAGACAACCACACCAAGTGCTGACCCCATCGGCCAGTCCGCGCGACACGACAAGACCAGGACCGGGTTACCGACACTCTCGGGAACAGTGAAGGATTCAAAAAACACAAACAACACGAGAAAAGAAGATGGCTGGAAAGAAGGGTCAGGACAACAGCAAGAAGGTGGCCGGCCAGGCGCGCAAGGCCGAGTCTGCGGCCCAGAAGGCTGCTGCCGAAGAGGCAAAGAAGGCCGCTGCCGAAGCCGCGGAGTGGGATAAGGGAGCCAAGAGCAACGCTAAGAAGTAAGTCCAACATGAAGTCCACAAGTGTTCGGTTCCACGTTACTCTGCCGATTTTGTTTTACCGGTCCGTTCTATGGCCCTTGTCGTCGGCCTTCCGAGACAACAGGAAGGAAGAGGGGGCTGTATCCTCGCTCGGCAGCAGGCTCCGTGCCCTCGTGCGACATCTCATGCCTCCGTATCCCGGACTCTGCATTCCTTTGATCTCTCACGTTTCCCATTGAGGCACCCTTACCCTTGTTCGGCTGTTTCCTAAGGAAACATTGCCCTTCGTCAGGAACGCGTTCCGACTCGCTATCGGAAGATGTCCGCGGGACCGCTGTGCAACCTGGCAGGAGCGTCGCATCGCATGCCGCAATAAAATGATGCCGGGCGAATGTCCAGTGGGCTTCTGTTTGGCTCTTTTGTCCAGTGCGTACTATCACAGGCCCATGCGCTACTGCAAAGTTGCCTTTGATGCGCTCTCCCTACAGTACGGGAGGGACAGATGGTTGGTTGGGTGGACAAGGTGGACGGCCCGGACTCTGAGGGCGACGTGCGAAGTGCGCATATTCGCACAAATGAACTATAACATTCGCGATAAAATTGCGCCGAACAATGATACTAACCACGCATTATCGTACAGGGAGGCCGAGGCCGCGAAAAAGGCCGAGGCGGCGCGCAAGAAGGCGGAGAAGGAGGCTCTTCTAAAGGAAGAAGAGAAGAACACCCCGGGCCGTACCCAGCCCAAGAATGCGAAGACGGCGGTCAAGAAGACAAGGGGACTTGACCTCTCACAGCTGGACGACGATGGCAGCGGCTCTCTCGCGGCGCTTAACGCATCGGGCATTGACAATGCTCTGGATGCGTTGTCGCTCGCGACCACAGGCTCAGCTGTCGACAAGATTGACAGGCATCCCGAAAGACGCTTCAAGGCAGCACTTGCGGCGTTTGAGGAACGACGACTTGCGGAGATGGAGAAGGACGGCAGTGGTCAAGGCTTGCGCCAGAACCAGAAGAAGGAGAGGATCAGGAAGGAGTTCGAGAAGCACCCCGATAACCCCTTCAACCAGGTTACTGCGCGTTACGACGCTTCCAGGGAAGAGTTGGCCCAGCTCAAGGAGCAGGAACGCGTCAAGATCGAGTCCAGACTTGGGTCCAGACGCTAAAGCTACCGAGCAGGATGTTTTGTCCCTCTGGTCGACAACCCATTCAGAATATTCGGCTTTCGTACGGTTCCATGCGCTGGCTAAGGACAGGGACGCGTGTAGCCGCGACGGGTCTTTCCATCTGCCCACCTGTTCAGGCTTAGCAGCTTTGCTTGCTGTATACGCAGACACAACACAAGTTCAAGCACGTCCAATCGACAAAAGCGTACGGACTGATCGTAAAGGTATCTTTACTGTATCTCTCAAGAGCGAGGAGCCGTAGATGGTACCTTGAGAATGGCATTCTATACACGAAAGGGACTTTAACTTCAGCATGATATGACGACAGTGCTATAGAGCCATGGGTTGTGTAAAGTCCCTTGTGCTGTAAGAGGCGGTCAAGGACAGAGAAAGGACCCAGAAGCCCGGTGGATGGCCAGGCAAAAGGTTGCCTTGTTGTTTTTGTGGTGACCGACTTCGTTGCTTTTCCCCTTTCGATGGGCTCCTGTATCGTAGTTGTACAATGCAGTGACGAAAGAGAGAGAAAAAGGAGGGGTTTCAAGACAACAACAACAAGAGGCCGGTCGGGTCCTGGGCCGGTGGCTGGCTTGTTGGCCTGGTTGGAGCCGGGGACCTCGCCGAGCTCAGTGTCTGGGTCTTAGTAACAAATGCAGTGGTCTCGATCGCTGGCAGCTCGAGGTCGACCCAATCGCCGGAAAGCATCGTGATGGAAGTTTGATATCCAATATGCTTCTAGCGTGCGGTTGCCTGCGCAACAAAGTTTAGGTGGTGAAGTGTCCCTTGTCCGTGGCCGGGTCGGTGGGTGGGTTGCGGTCTGCGAATGCGAAGTCCAGTGATCCAGTTCCATGCCCAGCAGCCCGGAAGGAGCGGAGCCCTGACCCACTTTGGCGACACGTGGAGCTAGGCGGGATTCCCGAACTTGACCTCCTGGAAGGCGGACAGGGACGGGCCCGGATTCTCGGAGGTCCACTCTTCTCAGTGGAGGTGTTCCTGACGACGACTCCTGACGTCCCATCCCCCTTGTCCACTCGGATCGAAGAAGCCGTCCGTTTAGACTCCCGTCTAGCCTCAAAGACATCTAGCGTCGACCTCGGGCACTGTTTGTAAGGCACAAGTCTTTCGTAGACGTGAGTTTGATGTTCTGTGATTGCTCTCCCAGTGTGCGGTAAGATCATAATGATGAATGCCAATGCTGTCGTTGTTGTTCATGTAGCCGACCCGGTGCCGGTCCGTCTGTAGTGTAGCAGGGTAGAGAAGCCCGAAGGCCCGGCGCCTGCCGCGATTGTCGCGTTATTGTACCCTTCAGGTTGCGGTTGTACTTGCCATGGAAACCCAAAATTTCCCATCTGTCAGTCTGTTCAGCTGCTCTCATGCTTCCTGGTTAAGCCTAGGAAGGATTTCCTGACACAGACACGGAAGATGCCCTGCACTGCAGTGATGTCGAGAGTCGTTGCGACTCGACAATGCCTGGCGCGAGATCTCCACCGCGCACTAGAAGCGCTAATGTAGGTAAGAGAAGTACCCGGCAGTACAGTGCAATATGCAGGAATACATAACCCTAACCCCTTTTTTGTTGTTCGTGAGAACCCCCGCTAGTGTACACAGTACACAGTAGGGGTACTCTAGGGAAGCTTCAGTGTCATTCACCGTCAGGGGCAGACGACCTTCCGTGACCATAGCTCCAACCTCACCTTCGATTGCCTCACAATCGTTCACCACACCTCTACATCCACGCCACTTCGCGACCTGCTTAGAACTTCAGGAATTACTCTCCACACCATCGTCGTATTGAACCTACATACTTTTCTTTTTCTGCATACCTAATCCTCAACGCTGTCACAGGAGCAGCTAATCGCAAAGCACCCCGAATTGCTTCGGTCGTTGCAAGTTGGGATATCGGCGAGAAACTCTCCTCCCCCGCATGCTGTGTGTCCAAAGCACAGGGTAAACATTCCCCGACGAAAATAATCCCCATCCGGCCAACAATTTCACCGGGTAACACGGTAATTCCCCGAGCCAATGACAACATCTACGCCCTTCTCCCGGATGGGCAACTTGCCCGCCGTTAGACGACAGCATCTCCTTGCCGAGTTGTAGGTGCCACACACAGCCCCGAATACAGCATGAAAGCTACCAGGAATCCAGGCGGGCTCATGGGAGCTCAACTGGGCCAACGGGCTAATGACCTGGGTTTCATACAGTGCCGGTCTTAAACAAGCATGTCCAAATGGCGTCTTCGTCAGTCTCACGCCTGGTGACCCAAATCTATGGTCAGGCGTGATCTTTGTACGCAAAGGTAATCCCATTCGCTGCCACTGGCAGCCCAAGTCAGGAAATTCAATGGCGAGATCCACCAAGGCCAAGTCGTCTTGTCCATCTCCGAGGAGATGAGGGAGAAAGCAAGTGTGTTTCGTGAAGTGCTGACGTCTCCTGTCTCGGTTCCTTCCGTAGGTCCATACGCCAATGCCGTCCTCCGCTTACAAGTCTCCTTCCCGGACTCGTATCCGAACCTGCCACCCCTAGTTACCTTCTCCACAGACATGTTCCATCCCCTCATCACGCCTCTCACAACGTACATGTACAGCACCGACGTCCAGGACAACGGTACCGTCAGTGCCACCGACGAGGAGCGCCTTCCACCCGGAGGCTTCAGTCTACGTCATGGCTTCCCGCACTGGTTTGGTAGGGCCAGTCGGTCCCGCGTGGAGCATGGCAGTGGCGGTCCAGGCGGAAGGCCACCTGCATCTGTAGAGATGACGCCGCCGCCGGACACTCGCAAGGTCCAAACCGGAAACCGGTCCGAAGACGGGACCGAGAATGTCGGAGGAACGGACGGGACGTCGGAGCCCACCATCGAGCCCGAAGCCAAAGCAGATGCGGCTGCCGCCCGCAACAGGTCATCTGCCAGGCGGGACGTTTCAACCTACGAGGTCCTCCGGTACATCCGTAGCACCTTTGACAATGCAAACGTCCTTGACTCAGTCCCACTCGAGGCGGCTGGTAATCCAGGCGCCTGGCATGCGTGGCGCACTCACCGGAGACAACAGTCTGCCAAGTTGACTTCTTCCCCGGCTTCGGTGAAGTCTGACACGGGCTCAAGTATGGCCAAGATAGACGAGACCATCACTAGTCCTACGCCAAGCGGAAAAACCGAGACAGGCTCAACCACCTCGCCATCGGCCGCACCAAAGCGCCCTGAAGAATGGAACTGGGACGGTGTTTGGGAAGAGAGGGTCAAAAGAGGCATTTCGACTAGCTTGTCAGAGCCGGTCTTGTTTGGACACGCTGGGGCGGCAGATGAAGTGGTAAGTAATCGACATCGACAAGATTTTCTTCGCTCTAAAAGTCATGTGTTCTAACTAACGATGCTTTATGGACAGATCAATTTCATCAGCATGGAGGAACCAGATGTGGAGGGAACGAAACAGAACCTCCTTAGGACTCTTGGTGTTATACCTTAGTGACTGCCGCTGACGGTGTTCCGAAACTGAGGGTGGCACTTTCCCTCGGAACCATGCAGTTTTGAAATTCGTGCAGGGACATGTGAGGTCCAGAAAGCAACTGCGAGTCAGACGTTTCTTCCTTCTCTGGTTTCTTCGAGGAAATGGGCCTGATGATGAAGCAAGACGGCCCCCCTTAAAAGCTTCAAGCGTTGAACTGCCTAAACTTAACATAATCCTAATATACCCGGACATCGTCAGAATTGACAGTTCGAGGTCATCGAAATTCGACGTTGCGTGGACACACGACATACATGACTAGCAGTAATCTTTGCAAATACACTTCGAATACATTTCTCATTTCCATACTACTTGCAAGCCTTACTCAGCCCGTTCGTCCAGCCAATCCACCATATCCGATCGTGGAGTTTGTCCGAAACCGCAACTTGACACAAAACTGCGTACAAAACTGTTGCTGCTGCCGCTATCAACCATGGCGACCGCAGACTTGACCGGGTCGTTTTCGCGAAACCATCGAACTAGCCACCGATACGTCCGCTCTGTTGAAGATGAGGTCGTACCAAAGCCACTACAGATCGTCAAGCGCTCTGTGAGCTCAAGCACCACAAACCGGAGTTACCGGCCGCCATCAGCCAGACGAGATAACAGGGCTGGAAGCTTGAGTTCTAATGCAAGCATGAACAGCATACCGGAGTCACCCAGGGGTAATACGCCCCTCTCTGTGCCAAAGATCAGAGAGAATAAGGCGTTTGAGTATACCTCCGCTTCCATGGTCAATCTACTGGAAGGATATGAACAATACGAACCAGTGAATACCGTGAATTCCTTCCGGCCGAACAGTAAGTGACTTCTTGGGGTCCAAATACTCTTCATGAAGTCGGTCGGAATATACAGAGATCCTACTTGAGCGGCTTTCTCTTAATCAGTGCCTCGGTGGTCATGTTTTTCTAACATTTGGTTAGACCACAGTAGGATCTTTGATACCGAATACGGTCCCCCCAGAACGAACTCATGCACAAGTCTGCGAAACCAGCGATCTCGAATGAGCCCGTCGCCTTTCAAAATGACTAGAAGCCCAGACTTTCTTCTCCGAAGAGCCAGGCAGCTGATTCCGGACCACAAAGACTTGAACAACGAGCGCGAAAGAGGTAACAGCAGGAAAGACATGATCTTAGCTGCTTGTGCCAACACATCTAGACCTCACACCCCGACTCCATTATCTCGAAAGGTCCAGAATCTTGGGCAAGAGGAAGATCGATCATCGCCACACCTTCGAAGCTCGAGGAGTATGTTCCACCCTCACGACCACAACCCCGATAATACCATTGCAAGTTATGATGGAGAGGGTCATCATTCGATGTTCGAAGCTGGAGAAATATCACAACAGGGCCACTCGAGTGCCTTGCACTCAGGCCCATCTGGTCAAGTCGCGGAAGAGCCGTTTATGCTCGTACCCAAGGTGATAGTAACGCCAGAAATCAAAGCTCTAGACAATGGAGTTACAACGCTATAGGCGGCGGTGCAGCTTTCAACACAGCTTTGCCATTCTAGCGCCCCCGATTATCAATCTAAGTCTTCCTTCCAATCACGGGGTAATTGCGACGACGGCACAATCTCACCAGGTATGACATGCCAGCCAGTGTCTTGGGCAAACTTGTCGTTGGATTGAAAGGTACTGACTCCAGTTATTCCACGAACAGATGTGTTACGATACGGCTGTCTTTACGACTTGTCCGTCGAAGTCCTTCCAACCGCCAACAGCGAGGTCATTGAGGTCATAGACGATAAGGCATGCGCAAGGTATGAATCCTTCCCAGCCCTAAATAATCTCTCCTACCATTGATCGAGTTTTGAGTTCCCACTGGAGTCTATCTTGTTTGAATCTGACGTTCATGTTCGAACAAAGAACTACTCTCCACTTCGGCTCCAGATTACTCCTGTTGGTGCATGTTCGATTACTCCCTACTGCTCCTCGATGCAATAGCAAAAGTAACCGCCACAGAAGACAGAGTTCTGATGATCTCATTGAAGATCTTGAATATCATCTAGGCAGTACGAAGCTCGATTACCTACAGGTCCGGATCAGGTACCAACATTCTGGCTTCTCGCAGAGGACATGGGTACCACGCAACACTACGATGGACGGCATCGTGAACCTGAAGACCTCGGTAGAAACAAAGGCGGTTGCTGTCATCAAACAACAGGGTTCATCGTCGCTCTGGTCGCCGCGTGACGTTCTACAGCCCAACCCCTTATTTGAAATTATCGCAAGTCATTGGGGTGTCGAAACGACTAGTGATGTAATACATCGCATACTCAGTTCACGATCATTACCGGCACAGCGAAGGGCGATGAACCATCAGCAATCGTCTTTACCTGTACGCTTGCACGACACTAGCGGTACTAGTGGTGCACAATCCATATCATTTGGTCCAGAACCAACTCCCATCCAAAGAGCTCAAACACCTTTTCGTATACCGAGGCAAAGCCAGAGTGCACTCGCTGTTCGGACAGCAATGAAGCCAACAGCAATGTTAACAAGGACCAGAACAATGGAGTCAAAGAGCGACAATAATGTCAAACCTCCTGCTCCGCCTACACGCGCAGCACCTCCTATACCAAGAAGGCAGACGAGTCTGAATATCAGGACGCGTAACCACAGGCTTTCGGGCGGCGAAGGAGGCCATGGCGATCAGAGACAGGACACAGTGCAATCTTACGAGAAAGCGTTCCCGTTTCTCACGGGCGAAGACTCAGACTCACCCGGGGATGATTCTGTACAGAGAGCCACCGCCCATGCAGCCAGTTATCGTGGTCCCGGAGCTGACATTCATGCACACGGGTCGGTGACTCGCAATATCCGGACATCCTATGTGGCTGCTGTAGGACGACTTCCCAGTACTGCTTCGATATCCTCTAGTGAAACCTATGGGGGTGAGGATTACGAACCACAGCCTCAGGAACAGGATCAGAACGGAAGATTGAGCAATGAGGAAGAGAGAGCGACACCAACATTAGTACGCTCCTCACACCCTAATCAGACGAGATCTGACCACTCGTCTTTCACCCGCACACCAAGAACCGGTGGAAGTACGGGTAGCATAATAAAGAGGAACAGGGGCAGCGATATCAACGTCAGGGATAGTAGTGATGATGATGGACACCTAGAGTCGAGCCTATCGCTTCAGCAAAGTTCCAAAAATAGCCTCCGAACACGGACAAGGCCATCAGAGCAGTCAAAATCCTCATCCTTTGCATCGTCATCGGTAACTGCAACATCAGCAAAGTCTCGACAGAATAGAGGCAGGGCAATTACAAGACCACCTCCTCCTCCCCCGTGCCCACCTGTTCCTGGGGCTACTACCTCCTCAGAAGAGCACCTATCTAGCCCAACAAGTATGAGCAGGACTTCATCCATGACCACGCGCGTATCAAGTCCTGCTGAATTTGATGCCATGGAGTTTGGTCTGGTTGACACTCCACGGAGGGCAGACGGACGAGGAAAGGCGCCAACAAGGAGTGGAAGGGCTACAGGTTATGATGGTAACCATAGTGACGACGACACTCAAGATACCGGGTCCTATGGTATGGATCTTGGCTTCACGACGCAAACATTACCGTCTCGCAATAACCGACAGAGTGGCCTACAAAATGGTTCAGGAGGGTTTCTCGGCATCGACCGTGTTCGTCAGGTTGCTGGCAATGTGAATGGACCGAACGGCTTTCGGGGTAGAGTAGCAGCAGCAGCCGCCAGATACGAGACTGGAGGAGGTGCAGGAGGAAGTCTGAATAGCAGGACAGGTGGGGTGACCATGGGTAGTGGTACTGGTAGCTGGAGGCAGAAGGGCAACCAAGCGAGGGTGATGAGAGGAGATGAAAGGGTAGAGAGAGTCGGAGAAAGCAAGGACAGGGAAAAGGAGAAGCAGCCAGGACGTTGGGCATGGCCGAGTTGGTGGTTATGATTAGATAGGTAGGTCTAGGTTGAAAAAGAAGCAAGCATACGTACGGGGTAGAGCATGAATTGATGATGGAAGGTCCAGGAAGGAACCCATGACTCTCATGTGACTCTACTGGGGTTCTTGTCTGGGAAAGACATGGTTATTCCGCCATCGGCCGTGTGTTTATTATCGAGTGTCCTTCAAGACTTGCCGTCGTTGACAGCTGTTCCCCATCCGGGGTCTTCGGTGGCTGTTGACCTGATTCCCCTTCTTCAACTTCCAACCCAGCGGTACGAGCCCCCGTGCCCTTCTTCCACAACGGCCTCCCATCATCATCAAACTCCGCCCATTGGAAAAACGAACAAGCCTCCTTCCCTGGTTGATTACCAGCATGGCACATCCAGAAATACCTGCCCCAGTTCTCTCTCTTCTTCTGCACCACTCGCAGCACCGTCGGGATCCCGCAGGCGCACCGCGGCGTGTATCGTGGGTGAAAGTCTGGCCGGTAGTCGCGGTACGTGACGTTGATGCGCCGCCTACCGGAAATAGGGTGCGGATCGATGGCCTGCGCTGGCGTTACGCAGTGCTTCCACTCCTCTTGCATTTCGGCGTGCATGACAAGGAGAGAGTTGTGCGGGAGGTGGATGGATATTTGGCCTTCGTTTAGGGAGGAGTCGAGGTTGGTGGTCTTGGATAATGTACCATCTTCCTTGTCATCGTCCTTGGGTAAAATCCTGCGCACCCGAAACTCCCTCGCCACACCAAGCGAAAGAGACCCGATGACGGACCTAGGACCGAGATACGTCAACTGGTCGCTGTGCCAGCCCACGTTCTGGTCCGGGCCATCGTACAGATTCACAAACGCCGCGTTGGGCGACCAGGCATCGGGGGACTGGTACTTGAGCTTCTTACCACCGTACAGGTGATGAGTCCGTATGCGCTGCTGAATCTCCGCGTTTACTGCCTCCTGCACCAACGGCCGCACCTTTTCCAGCTGAGGCGTCAGCCGCCGAACGTCCGAGAGCCGCGCGCCGTTGTAGAAGTAGGCTGACTTTTGCTCGGCGAGCTCCCAGTCGCTGCCGACGAAGAAGCCCGAGGTGTGAGGGCTGGAGACTACGTTGTCGAAGAGCTTGAAGGTGGTTTTGCCGAAGGATTTGGCTTCTTCGAGGAGCTCTATCAGGAGGCTGTTGGCAATCTCCGGGGGAAGAAAGTTGTGGATGACGGTGCAGGGTGTGTGGGTGCTGATGTCGGAGGGGTCGTATAGATGGAGTGTTGCGCCTTTCCGGGAGAGGAGCTTGGGTTTCTTCGGGGTGGTGGTGCTCGCACTACCATTGCCGTTGTCGGCAGTGGTAGATGAAACAGCGAAAGATCGTAGGGAAGCCTGGGAAGTGATTCCTGACGGCTTCTTCTTGGGAGTCAATGCGTATTGGGCGCCTTTCAAGGCCTCCGTTGTGGCTTCCACGGACCCATCGTGGGCGATCAGAAGATCCAGCAACGTATCATGGTCGAACCGGGGGTGTAGTGAGGCAAGTATGGCCAGTTTGATATCTGTCGATTCCCCGTCGCCATCGGTTGGATTATCTAGTGGAATATGGGGAACGGTGACAGACTGCTGTAGTTGAGTTGTAACAACAGTCTCTTCTAGGGTCGAGTCGGCCTTTCTCTTGCCCCTAGTTACGAATCTATCCATTGCCACGGCTTAGAGGGGTGATTACGGGAACTCGACATGTTTGATCTGCTCCGATCATGGCCGGGTTCGTGACGGCTGAATATGGGCAAGTCGATAGATGGACATGGATTTGTAATGTTTGACGCGTCGTCGAAAAGAGATGGAAGGTGAGACGTGGTTTGAAGAGTGCCACAAGACGCGCTGTCACGGGGACTGGTCGGTTTTTACCCGACGTCATACGCATGCCGCTAACCAGCAAGAGTTAGCCTTAACATACTGTGGGGTTACTCGTCAGGGCTCGAATCGCCGTCTGTCTAATGCCGTGAGGCATTGGTCAGGTAGGTTAAGTTGCAAAATACAATTAATTCGCAAAATTTCGAAAGTTTGGATTGGATATGCAATTTCTTATCTAGGGTTAAAGCTGTTTAATGCCCGTTCCTCTATTAACCTCTATAGAATAGAGTACAATACCTTCTAGGTAACCAAACTTTATCAAATAGTTCCAATTTTAAAAAAAACTCTCAGATATTCCATTTGCATCAGTCTCGTGAATAAAATAGATAAGAAATATTAATTATAACCAAGTCTTTTGCTAGTAGCTTGATTGCATTTTTCCCCAATTCTTTCTCTAACTATTAGCATAACATAACATAAATCTCTTTTCTTTTATCTAATTCTAACCTTTGAAGTTTAGCAAATTAATTATATTTTGCAAATAAACCCGCCAGAGCAGCCATTGGTCTGAGAGTGTTACGAGCTGATAATGACGGG